AGAGAGAAAGCCTTCCCCTGGAGCTGACACCCTGAATTTGGACTTTTAGCCTACTTTACTGTAAGGAAATAAACTTCTCTTCGTTAAAACCATCCACTTGTGATATTTCTGTTATGGCAGCACTAGATGACTAAGACAGAATTTGGTACCGAGAGAGTGGGGGCTGCTCTAACAGATACCTAAAATGTGGAAGGGGTTTTAAAACTGAATGGATAGACGTGTGGCAGTGACAGAGGACCAGCAGCAGCAGAGAACCTACAGCAGCAGAACCAGGAGACCAGTGCGAGACGGCGCTGGAGCCAACCCACGGAGCAAGAGCTGAGTGCCTGTGTGCAGGAGGCTTCCTGGTGGAGTGGGGTGCCTCCGGGCACTTACCGGTGGAGCTACAGAGCTTTGGAACACGTGCCCCAGCAGGGCAGATGCAGGCATGAGGCCCGAGGGTCAAGAGGCCACAGGAAACAGAAACAGAAGCTGAAGAGACGAGGGACACAAGAAGCCGAGCTGCCTCAGTCTCAGAAGTGAGATGAAGCCGAAGCTGGATGAGGAAGGCAGCAAGCGCAGCATCCTCTCCAAGCACCGGAAGTTCGTGGAGCACTGCTGCATGCGCTGCCGCTCCCCCTTCACCTTCGTTGTCAACACCAAGCGCCTCTGTGGGGATTGCAAGTTCAACGTCTGCAAGAGCTGTTGCTCCTACGAGAAGCAAGAGAAGGTCTGGATCTGCTGCGTCTGCCAGCAAGCCAGGCTTCTAAAGACCCAGTCTCTGGAATGGTTCTACAATAACATGAAGAGCTGCTTCAAACGCTTTGGCAGTGCCAAGGTCCTGAAGAATTTGTACAGGAAACACCAGCTAGAGAGTGGAGCATGCCTCGACAATCTAGGAGGAAACTTTTTTGAGGCAAACCCGGAAAATGAAGAAAGCATTTCAGGCAGTGATTCAACATTTTATAGGCAATCAGAAGGACATAGCATGATGGACACCTTGGGTGTTGCCTTATGAGTGGCTGAAGAGGCCATTGAAGAAGCAGTTTGCAAAGCAGAAGCCTATGGGGACAGGCTGGATAAGCAGAACAAGGCTGGTTACCTGCGGGACCACAAGGAGGAGCTGACAGAGGAGCTGGCCACAACTATCCTGCAAAAGATCATAAGGAAGCAGAAGAGCAAAAGCGAGCAGCAAGCAGAAGACGAGCCGGAGTGGCCACAGTCCCAGAGCTGTGGTGTGAAGGCAGCTGATGAGGGGACCACAGTCTCCCCAGGAGGCCCCTGAGCCTCCGCCACCCCCTGGCGGTCCCAGTCTGCCTGCTTGCTCACTGCAGAAGATGCCCTGAAGACCTCTTCCCAGGAGGGGACCTGGAGGCAGCTGTGGGACCGGGGCCAGTGCCCGAGGGAGGAGCCCGCTTTGCCCAGCTGGAAGAGCATGGACAGGCTGGATGAAACAAGTAACTGTTTTAAGCAGCGCCTAGTGGATCTGCAGGTTTCATGGTGCTGTCCAGAGGCTTCTTGGCTATTGCATGGCAGGTCAACTCTTCCTCCCATACCTCTGAATTGGTGTGTGCCCACTTGGGGCAGCTAAGCCTGTAGCACAGCACGTGGTATATAATGTGGTCATGTTTTCCACCTGGGCAGTTTTCCTCGTTGCTGGGGAGGAATTAAGGCTCTTACATGTCCTCAGTGTTCCCTGGGCTCTGCTGAGAACTCTGGGATAGTGGGGGCTCCAGGCAAAGGTGTTAAAATTGCTCAGCTCCACAGCCCCACGCCAGCTGCCTGTTCAAGGTGGACTGAGAGCTTGAGTCCTTGTAGTCCAGGAACCCCATGACTGCAGAAGTATAGCTCCCCACCCCCACCCCCAGCCCCAGCCCCACCCCTAGCACAGGCCTGGTTCTTTCCCTACCTGGCTGCACATACTGTCTAATGGAAGCTAGGCACATTTGTCCTTACGTGAAGAAATCATTAACAGCATTCTCAGCCCATGTTACATATCAGATCTAGAAACGATGAGCAGTAAACCATCCATGCGTAGAAATATGAAAAAAAAAAAACTATGGAGCACAGTTTGACTCTAACACACATTGGATCGCCCTGAGTATGAATCGAATTGATGGCAACTGATGTTATTCTTTTGGGAAACCACTCTGATGGGACTTTTGCCCCACCTCTCTACCAAATGGCTCTTAACAAGACTACTGATGTTTCTAAACCACTCTGATGGGACTTTTGCCCCACCTCTCTACCAAATGGCTCTTAACAAGACTACTGATGTTTCTGTATCCAGTGCTCAGTTCTTTGCTCTTTTTTTTTAAATTTTTTTTATTGTTGTGATTTAAGTGAAAGTTTACAATTCAAGTTAGTCTCTCATACAAAAATTTATACATACATTGTTTTGTGACCCTACTTGCTCTCCCTATACTCTGACAGCACACTCCTCCTTTCCACCCCTGATTTCCCATGTCCGTTAAACCAGCTCCTGACTCTCTCTGCCTTCTCATCTCGCCTCCAGATGAGAGCTGCTCATTTAATCTCAGCTAAGAAGCACACTCTTCACGAGTATCATTTTATGTCCCATAGTCCAGTCTAATCTTTGTCTGAAGGATTGGCCTCAGGAATGGTTTTAGTTCGGGGCTGACAGAAGGGCCCGGTGGGGGCCATGTCTTCCAGGGTCCCTCCAGTCTCAATCAAACCATTAAGTCTTGTCTTTTTACTAGAATTTGACTTCTGCACCCCACTTTTCTCCTGCTCCATCAGGGACTCTCTGTTGTGTTCCCTGTGAGGGCGGTGATTGTGGTAGCTGGACAGCATCTAGTTCTTCTGGTCTCAGGCTGATGAAGTCTCTGTTTTCTGTGGCCCTTTCTATTTCTTGGGCTAATACTTGCTTGTGTCCATGGCGTTCTTCATTCTCCGTTATTCCAGGTGGGGTTGGGACTAATTGATGCATCTTAGATGGCTGCTTGCTAGCTTTTAAGACCCCAGGCGCCACTCACAAAAGTGGGATGTACAACATTTCCTTAAAAACCATTGTTATGCCAGTTGACCTAGATGTCCCCTGAAAGCAAGGTCCCCAGAACCCTACCCCTGCTACTCTGTCCCTCAAAGTGTTTGGTTGTATTCAGAACACTTCTTAGCTTTCATTTAGTCCAGTTGCACTGACTTCCCCTGTAGTGTGTGCTGTCCTTCCCTTCACCTAAGATAATTCTTGCCTACTTTCTAGTTAGTGAATACCTATCTCACTCCGTCCCCATTCTCGTAACCATCAGAGAATATCTTCTGTGTTTAAACCTTTCCTTGGGTTCTTATAATAGTGGTCTCATACAGTATTTGTCCTTTTGCGACTAAATTCACACAGCAGAATGCCTTCTGGATTCCTCCATGTTATGTTTCACGGATTCATCGTGGTTCTTTATCATTGGACACCATCTCATTGTGTGATTATACCATAATTTGTTTATCCATTCATCCGTTGATGGGCACCTAGGTTGTTTCCATCTTTTTGCTATCGTGAACAATGCTGCAGTGAACATGAGCGTGCATATATCTATTCGTGTGACAGCTCTTATTTCTCTAGGATATTTTCCAAGGAGTAGGATTGCTGGATACTATGGTACTTCTATTTCTAGCTTTTTAAGGAAGTGCCAAATTGATTTCCAAAGTGGTTGCACCATTTTACATTCTCACCAACAGTGTATAAGTGTCAGTCTCTCCACAACCTCTCCAACATTTATCATTTTGTGTTTTTTGGATTAATGCTAGCCTTGTTGGGGTGAGATGGTAT